TTTTTTGAGAGAGCATTTTGCTACGTAGTACAGGCTGGCTTTGACTGTGCTGATCCTCCTGCCTCAGTCTCCTGAGTGCTGGGGTTGCAGGTGTAAGCTACCATACCTGATGGCATCATTCTGGACCTTTATGCAGACGGAATCCAATGGCCGGTGGCCTCACATGTCTGATTCTGAGGTCTGCCTATCTCAGCCCTCTTTGGAGCTGCATTCTTTCCTGCTGTGTGAAGACTGTGACCCATCCAGCTGCTGCTGGGCACGGGACAGACTGTGACCCATCTTGCTGTTTGCATTCGGGACTGTCCCAAGGAAACTGCAGGGACATTAGGGACAAGGGCCTCCCGACCTGTGTTTTTGGTTCTTGGTGCAGTGCTTGCCCCACTTCCAGCACTGGCTCTGGTGTCCTGCGGACCCAGCCTCTTGCTTACCTGGTCAGGTCTCCCTCAGGCCACTGTGGGGTTGGGCATGGCAGGTCCAAATGTGTGAAGGTCCCATGGCGGGCTTCGGGGAGGGCACACCCCTTCCATGCTTCCCTGCCCCCACCACACATTGTGCATCTTTCCTGCCGTGGCCCAGCCCTTGCTGGCGCCTGCTGGCCCTGATGTGCGGGGGCCAGGCAGGGCTGGATTGCACTGAGACCTGCATCTTCCGCCATTGCTCAGGGAATCAATGAGCTTGAGCTGGCTCCCCACGGAGCAAGCAGCTGAGCCTATGCAGAGTGCTGGGGCCAGCAGGCACCAGGTCTTTCCCTAGGACAGGGTGGCGGTGCCCACAGGGGCTCTTAGGGACTGGCACCAAGTCCAGGTGTCAGGGCTTCTGTGCCCGTGTGTCTGGCACCCTCTGCTGGCCAATGCAGGGAGTGTGGTCAGGCCTGCTGTGGTCCAGGCCCACTAGTCCCCAGATGCTCTCTATCCTGTTGCTTTTCCCACACAGCAGGCCTGGCCTGGGTCCTGGAGGCCCTGTGGTCTGCACTGGTGTTGGGAGGTTCCAGATCCCACTGGGGCAGGCATGACAGTAGTGTGGAGTGGCTTGGGCTGGGCAGGACAAGGAGCGTGGGTCTTGGAAGGCATCTCAGGCCCTAGGAGTGACCTGCATCCGGCCAGGCAGAGCTGAGATGTGTGATTCCCCTGCAGGGCCCGGCCTGCCCTGTCCCCGACCTGCCCTCGCCACCCCCCAGCTACAGCTCGGCAGGACAGAAGCCCGAGGCGGTGGTTCATGCCATGAAGGTAAGACCTCCCTGGCAGCCGGAGCCCTGGATGGTGTCCACCTGTGCCAGCTCTGGGCAGTGGGCACCCAATGAGCAGGGATGGGACTTCCTCTCTCATGGTATACTCAGAAATATGCCACCCACCTGCCCTCCTGAGCCTGTGCAGCTAGGGATACAGAGGCCCCAGGTGCGCAGGGACAGGTGTGCCACTAAGGGTGGAGATTTGAGGCAGATGTGGGGCTGGACCCAAAGCCAAGCAAGCCAGGATCAGCCCTGGGTGCAGCAGGCAGGTCCAGTGGGGCCCTGCCTGTCCCATGTGAGTTGCCAGTGGCTGCCACATCCCAGGAGACTGCGTGGTTGTTTTCAGAGCCCTGTGCCACTTGCGGGTCCAGCAGGGTCCCCCTGCCCACCCTTTCTGGCTTTGTCCTGTGACCCCTTGTCTTAGGAGTTTGGGATGCGGTCTCCTGTGAGCCCACAGTATCATGGGGCAGGGAGATGACCTGCCACTCTGTACCTGTTTCCCAGGGGCTAGGTGGGTGGCTCGGGGATCTCAGGCCTAGGAAGTGGAATCAGGAGTTAGGGACTTGCTGGCCTTGGCCCCTCACCCTGGGATGTGTTCCCCTCAGGTCCTGGAGGTACACGAGAACCTGGACCGGCAGCTCCAGGACAGCTGTGACGAGGACCTGAGTGAGAAGGAGAAGGCCATTGTCCGAGAGATGTGCAACGTGAGCCAGGGTTGGGCCTGGGGAGGCGGGGTCCCCTGTGTGGTCAGTCCCTGCCTGTCTTACTCACTTCGCTGGGACACGGGGAGGTAGTGGAGGCTCCGAAGCCCTGCCTGTTGTGCCCACTGTCTGCCTGCCCCTCCCAGGCTGCCCCCAGGGGCACCAGACGTGGGGCTCTGGGCAGAACTGAGCTCCCCACTCCCAGCTCTGGTTTGCTGGGCCAGCGTCTGGCCCTTCTGTTCTTGGTCCCGGAGTGCCCCCTGGTGGCTGCCAGTTGACCATAGTGCATGGAGCTGGAGGCACAGGTTGAAGACCCTGTGTCCCAGTGCCTGTAAAGCTGGGCTCTGTTTCTGGAGCTGTGCCCGCCAGTGTCTGCCCAGGAGAGCCTCATCTCTGACCCCCATGAGCAGCACCTGTTGCCTTACTGGACCCTCACAGGAGCCAGCAAGGAAGGGCCAGAATCTGAGGCTTTCATGGGGTGCTGCTTCCTGGTTGTGTGTGCAAGGCCTCCTGAGTCCCGGCCTTCTGCAGACTTTTTCCCCATGTAGTGGCTTGAGGACATGGTGATTTTACAGGACAGGGCAGCATGGGGCTGGGATGAGCCCTTCTCTCACATCCTGTCTCCCATAGGTGGTCTGGAGGAAGCTGGGAGATGCTGCCAGCTCTAAGCCCTCCATCCGGCAGCACCTGTCTGGGAACCAGTTCAAGGGGCCTTTGTAGAGCGTGTTGTACACAGCGGGATTTGCTGCACCGCCGTCTCTGTGGTGAATTGTACATAGGATCGGCCAGGACCCTGTCTCCCACCTCATGCACCAGCAAACTGGGAGGACAAGAAGCCCTGCCCGCTCCCTACAGCCCCGAGGCCTGGACAGCTGTGCTGTGTGAGTGAGAGGGATGCCAGCCCTGGTAGGTTTGTTGTCTGGCCCAGTGTCAGGACACTTGCCGCTCCTGCCTCGCCTGGATGTCCCTGTGTGGACTATGCCCACTAGCACCTAAAGCGGACATGGGTGGTGCTGTTCCTGACCCGGGCATGGCCAGGCCCTGCTTTGTGACAAGGAATCACCGTGTCCAGGCTGGTGGGAAGCTGCTCTTCCCTGACTCTGAGTCCTGGGTGCTGGCTTGGGGTTCCCTCGGGCAGGGGTCGGGACCAGCCTGAGGCCAGCTTTGTCTGTAGTATCCGCCCCGACATCCCCAACATACTCAATCCCATGTTCTTGCCCCTGCCAGGGAGAGCTGGGCCTTGCTGGGACCTCCCCTTCGCTGGCTGCACCTGGGGTTGCAGGACAGCACTGCAGGGCTGCCCAGGGGAGTCCTGCTGTTTGGGACTGGAAGGAGCTTGAGCAGGCTCTGATGTTAGCTTGCAATGTGCCCTTCAGCACATCACTCAGCGTCTCTGGGATGCTGGTGGCTAATTGGGGGTCCCCAAGATTCCTTTTGGTCCTGCTCATGGCTGAAGCCACCGAGCTCTGGAAGACCTTTGTCCCCTTTCCCAGCTCACGAACAAAGCAAGTGGCTGCTAAAGGCCAGGGCTCAGCTGCCTTGCTATCTCCTCTCCGAGCCTCCATGTCCCCAGCTCTACATGTGCAGGGCCCTGGGGTTGAGATGCAGTCACTGTAAGCCAGAGGGTGGCACAAAGGTCCCCAGGAGGAGGGCAGCCACCGGACAGCCCCAGGCCCACTCACCTCTGTTCAGTCCCATGCCACAAGCCACCTGCACTCTTCCCCACAGTACGTGGAGCTTCATGTAAGCGCCCAAAGAACCCAAAGAGCTGGTCTTTGTGTCAGGCCCAGGTGAAGCCCACACGAGGGTGGGTGGACGCCTCCCTGCCCCCGCCCCACTTGGGACCCTGGACATCTGCCATCCCACTCTTGGGTCGTCACTCTCAGGGGAAAGGGCTTTTGGCTGTGTGCTCAGGAGCGCCACGGAGGCTGTGGGGAGCTGCTGTGCACAGGCCGAGCCCATCTGCACCCACCTACTGGCCATGGTACCAGAGGGCTGAGCAGCACCCAAGGGCATGGGCACACAGCGGGAGGGAGTCTGCCCTGGGAGCCCACAGGAGTCAGGCTGGAACGGGATGGCTTGGCCACCGCTGAAATAAGCAATAAGTAAGACTGCCGCCAGGGCACGGCGGTCCCCCAGGCCTCTTGCCTGCCAGAGGCAGCGCCTGCTGTGCCCCGAGCCAGCACAGCTGGGATGGCTGTCCAGGACAGGGTCTGTGACAGTCACGCTGCAGTCACAGGTGCAGCCAGCAGCTACTCCGGGGCCACAGCCTGACCCCTGGGGTCTGCAACTCAGGATGACACCTGGTGAGCCCTCCTTCCTAGGAAAGCCCTGGAGGGCCAAGGCGGCAGTGGCCTCTCCCGGCGCTGACACTGGACCCCGACCCAGCGAGCGAGACAGCTCACGCTCTGGCTCCAGCCGCACTGTGATGGAGGTGACCGAGGCCGCCCTCAGCCCAGCTG